CGCCTGAAGTGCGACAGGCTATTCAAGCCAACTCAAACTTCAAACAAATCCATTTACTTACGCCACCCGGCGTCGTGGTGAAAAGGAAAACAAATACAACAGTAAGTCACTTACTGGCGTTTCCAAATTACAAACACAAGATTATCCTCGCGACTTGATACAACCTTCATCAGGTCGCGAGGGCACTCTTCCCCCTTCGGATACTGCACGGGCCGAAACAGAATTTCACATGCTCAAACAACCTAAACACAAAATTTGGACGCAGCGAAATTACCTGGCTAGAGGTATCGGGAAGAGAGAACGAAGCATTCGTTCAGCTTACCCAGGAAACCTCGCATTGCTTCCAGGAGGGGGGGAGACAAGGTCAGATGACCTGACGTCAGCTAAGGCTTTAAGTGGAAAAAGAGGAACGGCTCGCATCCTGGCGTTTCGGGGGGACTCCAAAGAACTTCACAGGGAAGAACCGTTGCACGGTTCACTACTACAGGCAAAACACCATGATATCCATAGCCACATTTGTAATTTTCACTGTTTCACAAACTCTGATGTTGGTACAGCTTTTATAAAATGCAATTATCTAGATTAGATTATAAGCGGGGACCAAATATTGATTCTAGAAGAACAGGAAACAAAATAGAACAAGAATATTCAAGCATAATAACAAACATCAAGGTCAATCAGCTCATAAAACGAAAATGCTGATCTTCCCCAGAACTTGAGTTATGTATCAGTTCCATCATTACAAAACCAGTGTTAATATTCTGCTCAGCAATTAATAAAATATGGCCACAAACCACTCAAAAGACTACGCAAGGCATGGAGAACTGATGGGAGTCAACACAAACTTTTGTACTGCAAAATTATTTGCAAAGAAAGTAACTGAAACAGTGAAGCTTCATTGGTTAGAGATCACTATGACCAAGCTCATACTTAATAGATCACTGTGGTCGCAGTGCAAGGACCAAGAAGGCCCACCCCTTGTACTAAATTCATACCAATACAGGAAAGTTCTTAACACAAAATTTGTACCTACTTTTAAACTCACCTACAATGCCAAATTTCATGAGCCAAATACAAACTAATCTATACTGTGACGTGCTGTTTTGTAAGTACCTGTAATAATATTAATCTTTTCTTCTAGCAAATAACAAATCATATGAACCTGCATAACATTAGCCCTTCCCTCTCTCTCCAATATGATCCCATAATGGCACACTTCAAATTCTCAATTTCTAACACAAATATTAAGAGTAATCATTATTTTGCACATAATATCAGCATCTATAACCTTGCCATCACATGACAAATCTGTTTCATTCCACAGCATACTAACTGTGTGTTTGTTAATTCTTTCAGTCACAGTGACAGGCTTACATTTACGTTTACAACCACCTCAGAGCTGAAGCACAAATATGTTCCACCATAACCCAACTGCAGAACTGCAGCTGTACCTCTAACAAGAGTCTATATGATTCAAATTTATATATTCACGAAGATGTACGATGAACAATATTTGTCAAGTACACTTGCCTCCTGCTTCCTTCGTCAGTACCGCAACATATAGTTTTTACATCTGTAAGGAAGAAAGTAACACTCAAATTCTGAAATTAAAATATTCTACCATTTCCTAACCTCCCCCTTCTCCCAATATACTCAAACTTTGTGAACATCTCAACTCACATCACTTCACCTTCAGACTCCTCTCCATTCTCTTCTGCAACTCTGCTTTCCTTTAATTCCCTTCTTTTCCTCTAATAGGTGGGGTCTGCAAAGGAAGTGGTGGAAACAGACATCCATCAGGAAGGCAAGAAGAAGCAAAGAAAAATGGTTCAGGAAAATTATGTATGGAGAAGTCAAATGTGGAAGGATGAAGATTCTAAGAAAGTTAGGGAAAGAAGGAAGTGGGAAGGGAAAGTGAAGCAGGGAATGGAAAGAAGGAGATGTAATTAAAGAAATGAAACTGATGGGGTCTTGAAAAGAAAGAGCATCAGCAAAAGGCAATATGGAAGGACAGCAGAAAGGAGAAGTGAGATAGTAGGAGAAATGAGAGCTATGAAGATAGCAAGTAGTGGAATGGGGGAGTTCAGGAATGATATTCATAGAAAGGAAATTAGAAAGGGTCAGGAGAGGAAATAGTAGATTTGAAAACAGTTCAGGAAATTCACGAAGGCAGCATTTACAAAAGAAGGTAACAGAGGAGCTGAGAAGTTCAGGAGTGTAGAGGATGGTAAGTTGAGGGAGAGAAGATGTGAAGTGCAACAGAAATTTTCAGAAATACAGTACTACTACTACTACTACTAGTAGTAGTAGTAGTAGTAGCAGCAGCAGCAGCAGTGGTGGTAGTGGTAGTAGTATAGTAGTAGTAGTAGTAGTAGTAGTAGTAGTAGAATAGTAGTAGTAGTAGTGGTAGTAGTAGTAGTAGTAGTATAGTAGTAGTAGTAGTAGTAGTACTGAAACTGAAAGGCTTCAGAAAACTCAAGCGGAAAAAGTAAAATACAAAATACAAATGGGCAGAAAAGGTTGTGGCAGAAGGGACGAAGGTTAAAACAAATATAAGTATAGGAAGGAACAGTGAAGGAGATCAGGAGAGTAAGTTGGTGACTGTGATGATGATATGCTGTACTGAACTATAATATACCAAACACAGCCTGGTAGAAAAGACAATAAAATGTTCCACAATATACTGTGACATGTCAATTTTTATAAAACACTATTGTGCACACTATTACTTGGTACTATATTCTATTAATTAAAGGGTTCTAAATATCAGGACAGGAATATCACCAACTGCAGAGCCTACATTTCTAAACCACACCACAATCAGCAAGATTAAGGGCTTGCAGGACATTCAGGACTGAAGGAACTGCGACAGCTACTCACTCTTCTAACCTAACTAAAGTTCCTCCCATTCACTAACCACAATATACATGTAACAGCTCATTCAGATGGAAGCTGGACGCTGAATATAAAAAGCAAGAGACAGGTGCATAATAAGGTAAAGCTATCCCTGTAACAGGCCATGAAGGCCCATAGGGTTGTTAAGACATTGAGGCTCCCACAATTTCTATACAATTGGCTCACAGATGGCGTTGAAGCTCTCAGCCTCACACCAGAGATACATAGCAATCATAATACAGAAACTGGAGGACATGCAGCTTTCAAATGCCATCACCCTGTGACTTTCAGTAAATGCTGATCTTGTGTGGAAGCCATACACTTTTCCAGTGTGCGCACAAACTAAAGCCAAGTACCATTAAGTCCAAAGCTGGATACAAAAGGCAGACTGCAGATACTTGATATCTGCAGGTGGTAAGATAGTTTACTATATTGTACTAACGCACAATAAACTGTAGTAAACTGTACTATAATGTACCACACTGCTTTGTACTAAACTATACTACATTAAGAGATATTATTTTATGATGAATTCATGACTATAACACCACAGAAGAAGTGTGCACACAAGTGCAAGAACTAGCACGTGTGTGTCAGTGTGCTCTTGCCTTGAATCCTATTCCCCTGGCCTTCAAAAGGCAGCACTATTCACACATTTGCAAGCATTTCCTGGTTGTTACTTAATTCTGATGTTTGAATGTCACTGAAACTCTGTAAACTGAATGAAAATGTGATGATGAAGTAATTTAATGTAACGCAACATTGAAGCAAAGTTAACTTAGTCTACCTCCTCTTGTTGTGGAATTCTTGCATCCAGAGGCTGCACCATCTCAGAAGCCTCCTGTACATGCCCATCACAGACTATGATCTGGCCTGCAATGCAAAATGGTACAACAAATTATTGGGATGTACATACAAAACAGCATGGGTTTTATTTTTCTTTCATTAGTGGCAAGGATTAACAATAGGAAGTGCTGTTATTTCCTGACTGGCTGATGCCCTGGTTCTAATGAATGCCACCAACCAAGCCTACATGTGGCTCCCCATAACATGAGCTATCACCTGAAAGCAGGAGTTCAAATGGGAATCTCATTTCATACCATTAGACAAAGCACGATATCATTAACCCTGTGTCACAACCCTGCATATGAGACCGAACACATGCTGCTACACTTACTACCTGAAAGCCTTTCCCCCCTTCACCACCTGTCCTGTATACAAGGTCCAGCTGCCTATAGTAGGGACTATGGAGTCCTCCATGCCCTGCCTACTTCCTTACAGTACTGAATTGTGGGGAAGTTATATGAGATATTGGCTGGTTGGGTGGTTTCCAATGGCTGCATTTGGGATCATTTATCCAATTTTGCCTCTTGCTTCCCAATAGAGAGCATTCAAGTTCTTGCTTTGTTGCATCTCCTTGTTAAGATTAGGGCACTGAAGGTGTTCTTTTCTCATAGATGAACCTGGCAAGTTGCACAGTGTACATTCTTCTGTGTTATATATTCTTATCTCACAAAGATGTGCTGCAAAGCAGTCATGTCCTGTAATCAATCGAAAATTTGCAACAGCTTCTTTTCTGTGTTTATTGCCGTTAAAATTTATCAAGTAATGAAATTACATTTCACGATATCTACCGAACAAGGTCAAAAGCGCTGGATTAGAAGAGTGAATGTAACATGACACCTGTGGTACAGGGTGCTCCTCATAGATGCTGCACAATCCTTGCTCACCCACAAACTCAATACAGATTTTCTTCACTGATACAGCTCCTGAACTGCCAATATACTGTAACAATTATGCAGGGCTTTACAAATGGTAAATCTAAACACATTATAAAGGGTGAAACAAAAGGAAGAACGTCAAATATATTGTACAAAATGTGTCCTGTGAGGTTTAGTTTTCAAGATATGCTTCACTGTCAAGTGGCACAATCTATTGAATGATCATCCTTGTTATCAAAGTATCCATCAATAATGCAACAATATAAAAGACATTAGGATTAAGTTTCACATTAAAAAAGTATTTCAATACTTTTTGATGTTAAAATCGTTACATGTCAATAAGATACTAAAAGCATATTCTATACATTAAAAGTGATTATCCAGTTTCTAAAATGTCTCTAGTCATATATTTCTTCTCTTTTGGGGGGACCACTGCACTGTATACTTGTTCACTGTGCCTCCATGCAAGTCAATATTTAGTTCTATCTCATGATCAGAACGCCATCATTGCACTCTATTGCAGCTGTCATAGTTTTTGTGTGTCGTATGTATCACTAGTGCAGGAATTGGGTGATATTAATGAGCTCCACTGGGCTGCAAACCCCGAGACACTATTCAACACATTAGTCTGAGGCAAAGATTACCACTGAGCAGGGGTACGTCTGCTAATGAAAAGGTTCAGAAACACTCAGGGACTGTGACCAGCCTAAATGGGGCAGTGTATATTCTAACAAAAACTGGTACGTGTGTCTGGCATCTGAACACACACACCTTTCAATACAGGAGATTCCTGAACACGCTAGACAGCTGAAGAGTGGAAGACAGAGGAAGATGCTATATATGAGTTTTGTTTTTCCTGTCAAGCACAACAGTTTACCACATAATTCACTCACATTTCACTGTGCATAACACAGTTTACTGGTCGTACAATGATGCAACATGCTTTGGTTCATGAAGCCATCATCAGGTGAAACATTAACAAACCTTATACTATTAAATTATGCCTCTTACATGGATCCACAGAGAGGAAGATGCCATGTGGATCCTGCTCACTCAGGAACTCGATCTCCTTCATCGCTGGGAACAGCTACTCATCGCTGATGCCACCATTCCAGGACTGCCAACATGGACAGCACAGATAAAGCTATACAAATTCTACTCATAAATCTGAGTGCACCATGAAGTGTGTTAACCAATTCACAAGTTTGCTAAATCAAGATGATCCCCTGACACTGAGTTTGGTACTACAGGAGGCATTAAATCTTTAGTGATGCACAAGCTTGCTGCTTGCTCTCCGACCGAACTCATATGCTTCTCACCAATGACTGCTGCTGACATTTCATCAGCTGCAATGATATCAAGTGACAGCAAAATCCTGCAAAATCTCAGTACTCTTTACCATTTCAACAGAGTGCTATAACCAAACACAGAAGAAGACTGGCATTGACACATGTGTGTGGTCTTCTGTCCTTCCCAGCTTCATCCCCCTTGCCTATTTCTGCTGATACACTTTGCACCCTATCCTCCACTAGACTGACTCTACAGCACTCACTCAACAATGGATTATCAGTGAATAGTGAAAAATGGTTGGGCCCAATTTGAGGAACTATTCTGCTACTCAGCAAAACTAAAAAACACCTCCATCAGGATAATAGATCCCAGGGATGAGATGTCTCTATAGAGGCTACTGACTCAAAAATGTTCAGTCTCAGAACTGTATAGATGAATCTCATGTGTTACATACATCCCATACAGGATGTCTTCACAGAACATATAGCAAAGGCAAAGAATCTGTTACATGAGTTTGATTTGTTTTATATTTGATTGTTTCTATTTTGTGTACTATGTATTGTAGCATATAAGTGTACGTACTTTATGTCTAAACAACTTATGTGATGGTGGTTTCCTATTTGTAGTGATGTTTGCCCTCTGAAGATGGTCCACAGAGACCGAAACATGTAAGGGTGTTAAGTTTTCATGTAGTAAAAAACTTACAGGTCACATTGGATGGAGTGATTTATATTTGTAATCTGTTACATGTTTCTATCTCGCTCTGACATCAGTTGTGATGACAGTCTCACCACAGGCACCTCTCCAGAACTGTCAAAGAAATAGTAACAATTATACAATGCTTACATGATCATTAATTATAATCCATCTACAGGTTGGTTATTCAGATGCCTTTTCAAATGATCTTTTCACTAGATATTTTGAACGCTGTCTGCAGTCTCATTAAACCATGCTGTTTGATAAACTCATTCTGTTTCCTTGGTACTGACAGGATAACTAAACCGTGACCCCAGAGGGGGGACCAACCTGGAAATAATGTACATACGGCTGGCTTTCAAACTACAAGAACACATATCATAAACATTACACATGCTCCTACATACCATAACAACTGTCCACTTACTGCAAAATCTTATGTAGACACGTTTTTAAAACTTAATACTGAAATTACATACGCCACACATTCATGAAATTTGGTTTAATTAAATCAAAAACCTCCACTGCCTATCTATGGCTCTGAAGACCTTGCGGACCTTGGCCGCTTTTTCAGTATCTTGCCAGCCGGTCGGAAGGCCGCTACCTAAAACACAGAATAAACGCAAACAGACATTCATGCCTCCAGTGGGATTCGAACCGACGATCCCAGTCTGCGAGTGAGGGAAAACGTTTCATAACTTAGATGACTTGGACAACATTACCATTCCAACCTGCCTCCATTTACAAAAATGGCTACCGCCACGGAATACTAACTACCGAGCATTACTAATAACGCTACAACTGTCCGTGGGTCAATTTAGTAATGGTTTGCAGTGGTAGTAAGTGCCATCTATATGCAAGTCTTACATTTCATGGTTTTAGTTTCGACTTCGGTAGCTTAGTTGCCGTCATATTCTCGACCGTTCTCGACTATTCCTCGGGATCGCTCAATTTTGCGTTTTTGCACTTTGGCCGTTGTCCGGTACTCTATAGAACAGAGGGTTGTTACGTCGATTATATAGAGCTAACCTCAATCACTGCGTTACATTACAATACATTAATCTCACAAAGTAAATTCAAATTTAGTATGGGTTCTGATGATGGTGAATGACACAGAATTACTGGGTTTTTTGACCTTTTCCATCATCCAGAATTCTTGGTAATAGAGAATACGACGTTTCGAAACTGGATCTAAGAGGGAAACATATCCAATTCCAGTTATTGAGATTAGCTCTTTCTAAGGGGCCCTGAAGATGGAAACAGATCCAGTTTCTGAAATGTCGTGTCCTCTATTACCTAGAATTCTGGACCATGGAAAAAATCCAAAACCCCAGTAATTCTGTATACAAAGAAAGCCAATCAAATTATGATACCAAGTTATAAATATCCCTTTACTTGCTATTTTATCACAGCATGGAAGCTCTTCTCTTAAATTCTAATGCTTATTTTGTAACCCTCTATCATTCTGCTGTCTCTCCATGAATACTGAAGCTGAAGCTAGTGGCCAGAGACTGCTTTGGGAGAATTTTCTTGGAATCTCAAAAACATCATATCTCCCCCACAGCCTATCAGGTTTACAATGAACTGACAAGACAAGACAAAATGCAATGAGTTGAGTCCAAGTTTCTGAAAATCATTGTTGCCAGTGAGATAGGCAAGCAGACACACCAGCTCTAGGCAAAAGGGTATGGGGCTATGTCAGAGTGCAACACAACACATTTGGAAAGAAACAGATTCAATCATATACACAGCCACACTATGAGTAACTGCATAGCAATTTTGTTGTATGTTCAGAGACAGCAAGTACATACACGTATATGTTCATGCACTGCAATCAGATACGTGACTACAGGTATCCTAACATTTCTTAGCAGTACGGGCAACAACACATTTGGATACAGTCCACATGTGCAAATATAGGTACAGAAATTTGTTACAATCAGGCACATGTTTGCATAGAGTCAAACGCTTATTAGAAATTGTATGTCAGCATTTTGCTACACCATTTTAATCACCATGTGTGTGAAACATGTTGACTATGTGGTGATCTGACCAATGACTGGTGAAGATGTACTTACTCAAAATAGGAATTAATCTGCAAGGTAGAAGTTCTTACACACAATATTAATAATACAGTTCCATCAACAATGCAACTCCTTTATTCTTTCCCTTTCATTTTCCCTTTTTCAACATGTTTTGGCCCCAACCAGTCATCACCAGGTATCTTAATTTGACAAAACTGTTATGCTGTATTTAACATCACTCATTAACTTCACATGTGACTGCAATATTCCATGCTATTAATTTGTAGTCACAATCTAGCTAACATTAGTTGAATTACCACATGCCATAATTTACTTTGTATTAAAATTCATTAAAATTGTTTCTTTTTTCTTAAAATTCTGTAAAATGTTTTTTACACCTCATAATATCTACTACAAGAGAGGAGAACACCATATGCTGGTGGAGAGAACTATCTACAGACAAGGGGCAAAAAAGTAACAACAACAACAGGCTTACATGTAGAAAACAACAGGTTACTGCTACAATATAAACATCCAAGGAAAGGATCGAAATACATTGTCTGGACAAGTGAACGACATCCTAGTAAGGTGTAAAAAGAATTTTACAAAATTTTAAGAAAAACAACATACATTTTAAATTTTAATGATTTTTAATGATTTCTAGTAAAGAGTAAATTACAGCATATGGTAAGTCAATTAGTGTTAGCTAGATTGTGACTAGAACATTAATATCATAGAATACTGCAGTTACATGTGAAGTTAATGAGTGATATTCAGTATAGTATAACAGTTTTGGTATATTAAGATACCTGATGATGGTGGGATGGGGCCCAAATATGTTGTAAAAGGGAAAGAATAAAATAGTTGCATTATTGTTGGAACTGTATTATTAATATTCTGTGTAAAAGTTATAGTAATGCAACAGGATGCTTAAATATAATATTGCAATGCAGAATTTCCAAATCACAAGAAGTGTCCTTAGTGACATGTTGAATTGCTTACTGCAGGGCTAGGTGGGGTATAAAGTTTTCTTCCAGCATTCTGTACTACCTCATGGTAGACTGTAACATCTGCAACTGGTTCACACTTGTATCTTGTATTGACTGCATGGAATTCTGAATTTTTATGAAACACTTCCAAGTTGTTGACTGGAAATGTTCTTAGAGTCAATAAACACTCCATAGCTAGAAATAGTATATTAAGCCTCTTAACTGGTTATCTCTTCTTTGCTTTGATTCTAACAGCCTTCTGTTAAAGCAGTCTTTCTCAACTGGGGGGCTCCCTGGGAACCTAGGGTTGAGCAAGAAATCGTGGGGGTGAAAATATATATATATATATTTTTCACATTCGCATTCATGTGTGTATATATTAATAAAGACCACTAAAGTATTCTATTTCCTATATTTGGAGTTTACAAGTTACATGAAAAATAGTATTTGCTTATTGCCTTTTTTAATCATTAAAATTTCCTACGGTTCTTCAGCATCTAAATGAGTCATTTGACCACTTCAATGATCTTAATAACATAAGACCAATTGAAACAAATAGTTCACTGTAGTTGTATTCATTCTTTTGTGATAACTTGTATCGGAGGCTGTGGCGAATGAAGAGGCATGAATGGGGGACAGGCATTTGGCGGTTAACAACACTGTCGCAGAGGACTATTTCACATGTTTGTTGTAAACGTATAAGCTCGAATTTGTAGGTTGGAAGCATTAAATATTCTCATATTCTTTTGCAATTTTATAGTTTAATTATCTATTATGCCATTTCATTAACCCTTGTGTTTTACACAAATGTCTGATTGTCCTGTGTGACGATTTTTGAAGAGGAGGCATGTGATAAAAGAGGGGGACCTTAGTCCTAGGCATATAGATAATTCTGATGGGGATAGTGACAAAATATCGTAAACCTCTAACAAATTTCACTGCATAAATGTAACAACAAACACATAAAAGGTTTGTCTGTATAATGAAAGCTATTTATCAGTGGGCTTTACATGGACTGGTGATTCAGTTTGTCTTGTTCCATTGTATCTTGTCTGTGGCAAATGATTAATAAAAGCAACAATTTCTCAAGCAAAACTGAATTGGCTGATTAGGGCTGGAGATAGTATACAACAGGACTTCCCTACCACCTGAATACACAGGAAGAAGTTTGCAGGAGATGTATGTTAAATTTGTAAACAAAGAAGTTGCAGAGAAAGCTCTGCAGAAACACAAGGATAGAAATTGACATTTCATGGATGAAAAACTTGCAGTGATTGGGGCATATTGAAACAGTGGATGCAATCAGACGGCATGGTAGGGATTTGGAATTATATGTTAGAAGGCAAAAGATCTAAAGGACAACAAAAATCAAGATGGCTTACCCATATGAGTGATGGATGATATAACAAGTAGGAGAAACTTGTGGACTCAAGATGAAAAACTGCGGGAGTGCAGCTATATTTGGATGTTCCTCACGCATCATCTCACTGTTTAATGGAAACTAGACTACAATCTCAGGAAACCAGATGGAGGTGGCTTACCCAAGTGGCTGATAATAATACAAACGGAGGAACAGTATGGACAGAGGTGCAAGGTTAAAAACTGTGGGTAGGCAAACATAGTTGGAGACTTTTTATCAATAAACCCACCGCTTCTTTTTATTGCTAGTGGGGTGGAACTAAGTCCCTTGTACTGCGGCCACTTCTGGCCTATTGTACCAGCTCCAGATGATAGGTGAGTGTGATTGTGGAGCAATTGGTGGAATGAAGACTGGTATGGGAAACCGAAGTACTTAGAGAAAACCGGCCCCAGTGCCACTTTGTCCACCACAAATCCCACTTGACCAGACCTGTGATCGAACCCGGGCCGCCGCGGTGGGAAGCCAACGACTAACAGCTTGAGCTATGGTGGGTGGACCCCAGGGTTAGTCTGGGCAATGGAGTAGAGAAAAATTTTGTCCCTGCTGTGAATTAAGCACTGGTCATATCCAGCCAGTAGCTTGTCATTATACCGACCGAGGCATCCTGACTCTTTAATTATAACAACAACAACAGTAGTAGTAGTAGTAGTAGTAGTAGTAGTAGATATAATAACAACTGCTGCTGCAGTAGCAGCAGGCAACAATTATGATGATGGTGGTGGTGATGATGATACAGTGTGGTTTGAATACGTAGCTATGGAAGTGATCACGTAACTAACCCTGTGGAGCTGGCTCATTCTTTAGAAGCCAGCAGTTGCTCAGCCACTCAATTCCCAGAATTTTATGAAATTCAAGGCATATATATCTTTATACTGAGGCATCCAGGGTCAAAAGCATTTCACACCCAAAGGGGCTGTCAAAACACCCAGACAATATTACAGGGTTATAATTTGAAAATGGAACCCAATTCTGTGTATACAACCAGGATAGCGCAGTTGGTATAGCAACTGGCTAAGGGCTGAACAACCAAGGAATCAGAGTTTGAGTCCCAGTGGGGCAAGAATTTAAACTTTTCTGTGTAATCTAAACCAAATCTGGGGTCCACCCAGCCTCCTATTCAATGTTTACTGGGTACTTTTTCCCCGGGGGTAAAGCAGCCGGGGCGTGAAACTGACCACTCATCTCCAACTAGTAACAAGGTCAAAACGACGTGGATCCATACGTACACTCTCCCACATCTATGTTTACTTAACAATCTGGCTTCACCATAGCATGGAATATTACGAAGTGGGCCTGTCATGTAAATGGAAGGCCATTGAGTCACCATCGCTGCAAGAATTATTTTAATATTCATGGCCTTGTTGTAGAATGTAATGGAGGAATTTGGTGATGAGTGAGGGTCTTGCAGGTTCTGTAAAGAGAGAACTTCTTGAACAACTGAATACTTAATAGTGATGGCCATGCACTGTGAATATATTTACCAGGAAGCAATTAAATTTAGCATTTATCCTGTTTAGCCAAAGAACGATGCATTCCCCATAATTTTAATTATTAGCTATGTGGCCTGAAAAAACTGACTTGAAACGAAGCATATGATTTCATGTTAGTGGTATACACTGTTACAGTATTGTTTCAGTACATTTTGGACATTCACTATAACATTTTTCAAGCGGACACCGACAAAAATTAACATTCGACATCCTTTACATATACCTCAGAATGTAGTGTAATAAGCACTGAATGATAATCACACACATTTAGTGTGTTCAATCTGCCTATTAGTTTCATCATGAAGAAAGCAGTCTGCTTTACCG